CATTTGAGGGTGCTGGACAATGGGCAGGCGGAAAGACTGGCCGCTGTATGACAAAGAGGAGGTGGTTTACTCTCTCAGGGATCAACTGCAAAGTGCAACAGACCAGAGCAATACATGCATTGACAGACTAATGCAGCCAATGTGGGATTGGGGGGGGGGGGAAGGGCAGAGAGAGAGGGGGGAATGGGTCAGAGAGACTAGGAGATTTTTAATATTGTGGGGAAAACATAGTCGGACTTTTAATTAGGTTGCAAAATGAACTAATGACATATCGACTGTTCGTTGGCTTCTGGAGAATGTGGCAGGGCACCTGTGGGTATGTACCAAGTGAAGTGATGTCATTTCTTGATTCTCACTTTCATTGGTCATTCCAGTTTAATGTTAGTTCACACTGACAGGTTTCTGCTGCTACGTGAAGATGTGTTACCATTCCAGTTTAATGTTAGTTCACACTGACAGATTTCTGCTGCTACGTGAAGATGTGTTACCATCCCACGGCTCAAAGAGCCCCTTCCCGGGTGTGACTCCGAAAAGAGAAAACCAAAAAACAACGCAAAATAATCTAGGCACACATAAGGCTACAGCAAAGGTCTAACCTACTCTAACCTCCTGTTCAGAGCAAGTAAGAATGATGACTGCTCAGCAAGTTCTTGTGTCATTTATAAAATGATCAGCACTAACGGCTCACTGGCTGAGACAGGTGTCTGTCATTGATTACAACTGGTGTATCACTAAAATCAGGGGAACCAGCAGTGGCCAATGATGTGTGATGATATGTGATGATGTGTGACAATGTGTGATGATGTGTGATGATGTGTGACGATGTGTGACGATGTGTGACGATGTGTGATGATGTGCGATGATATGTGATGATGTGTGACGATGTGTGATGATGTGTGATGATGTGTGACGATGTGTGACGATGTGTGATGATGTGTGATGATGTGTGATGATGTGTGTGATGATGTGTGATGATGTGTGATGATGTGTGATGATGTGTGATGATGTGTGATGATGTATGATGATGTGTGTGATGATGTGTGATGATGTGTGATGATATGTGATGATGTGCAAGATTTCTACACAGTTCACAATGGAGCCCACAGAAACTGCCAGAGAGTGACTACCATTCCCGTTTGCACTCAAATGTGCAGGCTTCAAAATAAAATTAATTTTCCCCCTTCTTCCTCCTCCCTTCTTCCTTCTCCCTTCTTCCTCCTCCCTTCTTCCTTCTCCCTTCTTCCTCCTTCCTTCTTCCGCCTCCCTTCTTTTTCCTTCCTTTTTCCTCCTCCCTTGTTCCTCCTTCCTTCTTCCTCCTCCCTTCTTTCTCCTCCCTTTTCCCTCCTCCCTTCTTTCTCCTTCCTCCTCCCTTCTTCCTCCTGCCTTCTTTCTCATGCGTTTTTCCTTCTCCCTTCTGTCTCCTCCCTTTTTACTCCTCCCTTCTTCCTCCTCCCTTCCTCATCCTCCCTTCTTCCTCCTCCGCTTTTCCTCCCCCTTTTTCTTCCTGCCTTCGTCCTCCCCCTCATCTTCGTCATCACCAGTATGTTCTTTTATTCTCCACCTTAATCTCCGTCTCCCCGTGGGACGAATGTTTCTTTATTTTGAAGCCCCCACCCTGCTTGTTGCCGGGGCCCTAATATAACCTAACGTTTAAACGGGATTTCTGGGAGCCTCTCCACGGGTGATTCTCATCCTCATGGTGGCACTTTGTGTCACCGGGTGTTTATCGCTCTATGTGATATCCTAGTAGGGTAAAATTGCAGTCAGTCTCCCCACCTGAAATTAGCCTAAGCCGGCATTTTAATTCTCTTCAAGCTGTTCAGTCTGAGCAGGCCTTGATATCTGCTGACAATTGTGACTTTCTGAACATGTTTTATCCCTTCCCAGCTGCTGCCTTTCTGTGCACAAAGTTGTAGACAATGTCGTGCAGTCAGAGGTGATTGTCCTCATTGCAGTAGAAGATATCTTCAACTCTCCGTAGACATGGCTGTTTTGTCGGTTGTCCTGTTGCCTGTAGGCTGCACATCCTTGTTCAAGTGATGTACAACATGCTATAAGCTGCACATCCTTGTTCATGTGATGTACAACATGCTATAGGCTGCACATCCTTGTTCATGTGATGTACAACAAGCTGCAGGCTGCACATTCTTGTTCGTGTGATGTACAACAAGCTGTAGGCTGCACATCCTTGTTCATGCGATGTGCAATATGCTGTAGGCTTCATGTCTTATATTTTCTTAACCAACAAGTATCACACAGAGGCCACGATTACAAATCAATAACAAGAATGATACATAAATAAACTCAACAATATTCACTAAGGTTTTGAGCTTGAGCATTTATTGAAGAAATTGTAACATTGAGGAAACATTCAACCACCCAGTTGTCAGACTCTAGGGAACACATTGAGGAAACATTCAACCACCCAGTTGTCAGACCCTAGGGAAAACATTGAGGAAACATTCAACCACCCAGTTGTCAGACCCTAGGGAACACATTGAGGAAACATTCAACCACCCAGTTGTCAGACCCTAGGGAAAACATCATCGATGTCAGCATGGACGGATTTGATTTGATTGTGAACATGCATTATTTGAGGTCAATACTCGTGAACGGTCGGCATCAAACTAGAACTGTTTTGACTGTTTGTTTAGTGGTGTACTTGTTAACAGACAAGCAGGCTTGTAAGTGCATGTGGTAACATATATACTCACTTATCTACAAACTTTCTTACACATAGATTGTCACACAAATACTTTGGCATCGAACACACTGGATAACATGCAGATCTTCATAAACATCCATTCGTTTATCTCACACACAGCATGCAAGTACTGATTGGCACTCACAGTGGTAGAAGGCAGGAAAAAAAACCACGACACAATAGACAATTAAAAAATGGAGAGTTTAAATGACCACGCGGTTTTCTAAACTCCGCTGTGTCCATACCACAGCTTTCTACTGTTTATACTGTCTAGTTTTCTAAAGTCCGCTGTGTCCATACCACAGCTTTCTACTGTTTATACTGTCTAGTTTTGTAAAGTCCGCTGTGTCATTACCACAGTTTTCAACTGTTTATACCGTCTAGTTTTCCAAAGTCCGCTGTGTCCTTACCACAGATTTCCACTGTTTATACTGTCTAGTTTTCTAAAGTCCGCTGTGTCCATACCACAGCTTTCTACTGTTTATACTGTCCAGTTTTGTAAAGTCCGCTGTGTCAATACCACAGTTTTCAACTGTTTATACCGCCTAGTTTTCCAAAGTCCGCTGTGTCCTTACCACAGATTTCCACTGTTTATACTGTCTAGTTTTCTAAAGTCCGCTGTGTCCATACTACAGCTTGCATCTATTTATACTGTCCAGTATCCCTTCCGTTCTGTATGTTTGTCCACTATTTCCTTTTTCCCGATCAGTATCTTCAATTAAAAAAAAAAAAAAAATTACTTCTTACAGAGATAAAATATGAGCCTGCAGACACATCTAACATACTACCTTCCTGACTTCATTCCTTTCACAGATCTGTTGTTGTTGTGTGTGTGTGTGTGTGAGAAAGATCAGTTTATATTTTATGTATGTATATCATGTATGTTGTGTGTGTATACACACACACACACACACACACACACACACACACACACACAGTATTTGAATGTGATTTGTAAGATTTGTTTTAAATAAACGAAAGAATGGAACAGGTGCAATACATTAATTTTTTGTAGACATAGCGTAAACTTGTGATGTCACCTACTGGAGCTAGCTACGTGACATTTCCTCGACTGGTATGTGGACCTGTAGAGTTCCATCTACCGATCCATACAAAGTCTGGTATGTGGACCTGTAGAGTCCCATCTACCGATCCATACAAAGTCTGATATGTGGACCTGTAGAGTCCCATCTACCAATCCATACAAAGTCTGGTATGTGGACCTGTAGAGTTCCATCTACCGATCCATACAAAGTCTGGTATGTGGACCTGTAGAGTCCCATCTACCGATCCATACAAAGTCTGATATGTGGACCTGTAGAGTCCCATCTACCAATCCATACGAAGTCTGGTATGTGGACCTGTAGAGTTCCATCTACCGATCCATACAAAGTCTGGTATGTGGACCTGTAGAGTCCCATCTACCGATCCATACAAAGTCTGATATGTGGACCTGTAGAGTCCCATCTACCGATCCATACAAAGTCTGGTATGTGGACCTGAGGAGTCCCATCTACCGATCCATACAAAGTCTGGTATGTGGACCTGAGGAGTCCCATCTACCGATCCATACAAAGTCTGGTATGTGGACCTGAGGAGTCCCATCTACCGATCCATACAAAGTCTGGTATGTGGACCTGTAGAGTTCCATCTACCGATCCATACAAAGTCTGGTATGTGGACCTGTAGAGTTCCATCTACCGATCCATACAAAGTCTGGTATGTGGACCTGTAGAGTTCCATCTACCGATCCATACAAAGTCTGGTATGTGGACCTGAGGAGTCCCATCTACCGATCCATACAAAGTCTGGTATGTGGAGCTGTAGAGTCCCATCTACCGATCCATACAAAGTCTGGTGTGTGGACCTGAGGAGTCCCATCTACCGATCCATACAAAGTCTGGTGTGTGGACCTGTAGAGTTCCATCTACCGATCCATACAAAGTCTGGTATGTGGACCTGTACAGTCTCGTCTACCGATTCACACGAATTGAAGTCTGGTAATGTCGAAGTAATTACTCAAACTCTTGAAATGTGCATAACAGTGTAACAATGATTGAAACAAGGATAACAACAACGGTTACGGACATACATCGTCGCCTTCGCCAGTCATTAGGGGACTCAATACAGAAGGTAACAGCAAAGAGAGACAATGTTTATTTAATATTAGATTAATGTAATAGTTAACAATATGTCACAATACAGACAGACAGACAGACAGACAGACAGACACACACACACACACACACACACACACACACACACATACACGCAAAGAAACAATGAGTTATATATGCTAGTATCGTCTGAGCGATTTAGGAGCGGGAAGCGCTAGGCGCCTGGGTCCGAACCCCAAAGCTTTGTCGTATGGGTCTCCCTGGGGGTTATAGCCTGTTCCAGTTTCGTACCGGTCATCTGGAGAAAGATGCAAATTTTAGAGTTATTTAAAAACAGACTCACACATACCACGTCAGTAGACTGAATGAGTGAACATGCACATTGTTAGAAACGACAAAATATAAAGATGCCGAGTTTACGATTTTAAATAATGCGAAATAGACAATACATTACACAATAGATGTCATTGTTCATTTCAGTGTATCATACTATGTGGGATACTACAGAGTGACATCAAAATACACTGACGTGCGAAACACGGATCCTTTCCATTGAAATATAGGAGCAATCAGGTCTGCAATAATTACTCGTACAATGTGCATCCCACGACAGGACGAGTAATGTAGTCACAAGATTACAAGGGACGTTTAATATTTACCACATGCTCTTTTTGTTTGCACAAAGCAGACTGGTTAATGTTTATGTTCATGTTAAGATAAATTAAGCACACAGTGAAAACTGTTGACTTTCTGACAAACAGCTAAGGATACATCAGCAAGTGAACTGATTTATTATTGCCCCCCACCCCTCCCCCCACCCCAATTTAACCAGTAAAGATGCACAACCGTACACGCCTGTGTCATGTGAGCTTGGAGATTGCGATGACACATTCTGACCATAAACACAGACTGACATATACAGCCAGAAACACTGAATGATATATACAGCCATAAACACAGAATGACATAAACAGCCACAAACACAGACTGACATAAACAACCATAAACACAGACAGACATATACAACCATAAACACAGACTGACATATACAGCCATAAACACAGACTGACATATACAACCATAAACACAGACTGACATATACAACCATAAACACAGAATGACATATACAACCATAAACACAGACTGACATAAACAGCCACAAACACAGACTGACATAAACAGCCATAAACACAGAATGACATATACAACCATAAACACAGAACGACATATACAACCATAAACACAGACTGACATATACAGCCATAAACACAGACTGACATAAACAGCCATAAACACAGAATGACATATACAACCATAAACACAGACTGACATAAACAGCCATAAACACAGACTGACATATACAGCCATAAACACAGACTGACATAAACAGCCATAAACACAGACTGACATAAACAGCCATAAACACAGAATGACATATACAGCCATAAAGACAGAATGACATATACAGCCATAAACATAGAATGACATTTACAGCCATAAACACTGAATGACATATACAGCCATAAACACTGAATGACATATACAGCCATAAACACAGAATGACATATACAGCCATAAACACAGACGGACATATACAGCCATAAACACAGACTGACATAAACAGCCATAAACACAGACTGACATAAACAGTCATAAACACAGAATGATATATACAGCCATAAACACAGAATGATATATACAGCCATAAACACAGAATGACATATACAGCCATAAACACAGAACGACATATACAGCCATAAACACAGAATGACATATACAGCCATAAACACAGAATGACATATACAGCCATAAACACAGAATGACATATACAGCCATAAACACAGAATGACATATACAGCCATAAACACAGAATGACATATACAGCCATAAACACGGAATGACATATACAGCCATAAACACAGAATGACATATACAGCCATAAACACAGAATGACATATACAGCCATAAACACAGACTGACATATACAGCCATAAACACAGAATGACATATACAGCCATAAACACAGAATGACATATACAGCCATAAACACAGACTGACATATACAGCCATAAACACAGAATGACATATACAGCCATAAACACAGAATGACATAAACAGCCATAAACACAGAATGACATAAACAGCCATAAACACAGAATGACATATACAGCCATAAACACAGAATGACATATACAGCCATAAACACAGAATGACATATACAGCCATAAACACAGAAAGACATAAACAGCCATAAACACTGCATGAACACAAGAGGAAAAGATAACCTTTCTTCCAGTAGGTGTCTCTGAAGTCGTTGTTGGTTCGGACATCCATGTTGAAGCTGAGGAGACGATCAGTCGTAAGTATCTATCTATCTATCTATCTATCTATCTATCTATCTATCTATCTATCTATCTATCTATCTATCTATCTATCTATCTATCTATCTATCTATCTATCTATCTATCTATCTATCTATCTATCTATCTATCTATCTATCTATCTATCTATCTATCTATCTATCTATCTATCTATCTATCTATCTATCTATCTATCTATCTATCTATCTATCTATCTATCTATCTATCTGTCTATCTATCTAATCTATCTATCTATCTATCTATCTATCTATCTATCTATCTATCTATCTATCTATCTATCTATCTATCTATCTATCTATCTATCTATCTATCTATCTATCTATCTATCTATCTATCTATCTATCTATCTATCTATCTATCTATCTATCTATCTATCTATCTATCTATCTATCTATCTATCTATCTATCTATCTATCTATCTATCTATCTATCTATCTATCTATCTATCTATCTATCTATCTATCTATCTATCTATCTATCTATCTATCTATCTATCTATCTATCTATCTATCTATCTATCTATCTATCTATCTATCTATCTATCTATCTATCTATCTATCTGTCAATCTGTCTGTCTGTCTGTCTGTCTGTCGGTCGGTCGGTCGGTCGGTCGGTCGGTCGGTCGGTCGGTCGGTCGGTCGGTCGGTCGTCGGTCGGTCGGTCTGTCTGTCTGTCTGTCTGTCTGTCTGTCTTTCCAGTAAACTATTACAACAACGGGTAAGAGACATGAACACTCACGTAGCAACAGGGTCAGAGACAAGAAAATCCACACAACGACTGGGTTAGTGACGACAAACAACGAAAGGGTTAGTGACGACAAACACACAACGAAAGGGTTAGAGACAACAAAACTCACATAAAGACGGGAACGGAAACAAGAAAATGATACAAGAAGGAAGTTGTCACAACCCTGTGAGTACAGTCAGTGGCGGAATAGACTACACCGTTAGGTGTGCGTGTTGAGGTGACACTCCAGGGTTGACATAAAGGTCAGGGCCGTGACTGGTCAAGTCTGTTCTGTTATTGCACGGTAAAACCAGCGCTCAGGATAAACCGCTTGGCCACGACAAGAAAGAGTTAACTTTGTTGTAGACAAGTCCGCAACACGATTACCCCTTTTGGGACTGAGCTGGTGAACGGGGTCAAGAGACAGGAGGTGGGGAGAACACAGGACATTCAACGTGCGACGGTCAGACAGTGATAGTATATTAGAGATAGGATATTTCTGTTAGTGACTGCATAGATTATGTACAGTGTTCTGTTAGAATAGGGTAGTTTTTGTGCTGTGTATTTAACTGGTACAAGGTATTGTGTTGTTCCATAGGAAGTAAATAGGTTCCAGTTACTTCTGACCAGTTAAATCAGTTGTGTACATGTTCTGTGAGAGAGTGTCTAACCTTGGCACTCTGACCCTGCACTAGACAGAGGCTGTGACAGTTTGGTTGGTCAGTGAGTCGATAGGTAAGAGCGTATCTCGTGCCAGTGTGGTTTGAGCACCAGGAGATTGCTTGTGGAATGGACTGGAGAGCGAGGCGATTGTAAAGCTCGTTCGGCCAGAGGGTCCAAGCAATAGGTGGCCACACAGCGGGAAGTCAACTGTCTATTGTATTACCTGTACTTACAATAAAGATTGTCATGTGTGCTCTGTGTGCGTTCGGGTTCAGTGTGTGTCAAAGGTTAGTTTGTCTGTCATAGGCCCAGTTACGAGCCACGGACCAGCAAGGTCACCCAGAGGTCTGTGACAGAAATAAATACTTACTATTGCTCCTTTTTAGGCGGCGGGGGCCTGCAATAAATCCACAAATCTCTGTCAGTAAAATACATCAGTTCATAAGAGTATCAATATCTATGAGATAAACTAAGCGGAGGAACAATGGGTGGGTGTGGTGGAGGCAGGGGGTGGTGTCAGCTACTCACCTCTTACTGTGGAAGTCGTTTAAAAAAAATAGTCTTGCTCTATTTAGTGGGGAAATTAAGAATTTAGTTAATTGCGTCAGTTGGTAAACTTTCAACGGTCGAATTCATTGTACTGGCTTGTATCCTATGTGACCCAGTCTTTGCTTGCACAACTACTTCTTTGTATTCTCCTCTTTCACTTCTTGCTTTTTGAAACACAGACACAGTCGGTTATATAATATTGAGACAACGGTAAACCTACAGATGTAAAACAAATACAATCACCACATCACCCGTTTTGGACCACAAAGTGAAAGAAAAATAATTGGTTGCCAAGTCGACCGAATCTTGAATGGGTATCACGTATAGACCAGGGAAGTAAAAGCAGCTGGTGTAATCTTGATTACATCACCCACCGGGAACTGTTTGGTATACACAACATTGGTTTAGCTCTACATACACAATAAGCTTGGAGCCATGGCAAAGTGTCCTGTTGATACCTGAATACACAATAAGCCTGGAGCCGTGGCAAAGTGTCCTGTTGATACCTGTAAACACAATAAGTCTGGAGCCGTGGCAAAGTGTCCTGCTGATACCTGTATACACAATAAGTCTGGAGCCGTGGGAAAGTGTCCTATTGATACCAAGTCAAGTTACAGCCAAGCAGCATGTAAACACTTGAGACGTGGGGAAGTGTCCTATTGATACCAAGTTAAGTTACAGCCAAGCAGCATGTAAACACTTGAGACGTGGGGAAGTGTCCTATTGATACCAAGTTAAGTTACAGCCAAGCAGCATGTAAACACTTGAGACGTGGGGAAGTGTCCTATTGACACCAAGTCGAGTTACAGCCAAGCAGCATGTAAACACTCGAGACGTGGTGGATGCACGATGATAGCTCCCTAACTGTATAGGAAAACACTCGTGTCCGATGCGTCGTCAGTTATATGGTGACCTCTTTTACTTTCGATGACGTTTCCTGTTATCTAAAAAACAAAAAGGCTTTTATTTTCACTTGTTACCAAAGATCAATTTGAAAATCCGCACTGATGTGGACTGGAACATTTTTCATCGGGCTGGCAGGTAAAAGGAATTACCAACAAAGTGTGCTAGCATAAAAAAAAAAAAAAATAAGACCACTTCATGATAAAATATTCTTACTTGGGACAGCAAAAATCAGCACATCCTCTTGAGGCTTTTGGCGCAGCAGTTGCAGCTTCTCCTAGCTCTTCAACACCTTCAGCAGCCGCTTCAGCAGCAGCAGGAGCCACACTGGACAGCGTCCCGAGTGCCCCGAAGACGCCACAGAGCCTCAGCAGGAAGTACAAGCCCACGAGAAGCCCCAGTGCCAAGATGGTCATCAGAATGGCAAAAATAGCCACAAAAGCGTCATTGTCAAAAATGTTTGTGCTTGGGGCCGGTGTCGTCGTAGTTGTCGTGGTTCTCGGTGTTGTTGTGGTTGTTGTCGTCGTTGTTGTTGTAGTTGTTGTTGTTGGTGTAGTACTGCTTGTTGTGGTTGTCTGGTATGTGAGGACAATAGTTCCCTCTGCAGTCCTTTGAGGCACGCCGCCATCTCTACATTCGACAACGAGGCTGTAGCTTCTACCACTGTTTTCTGGCGGGATTTCTCCTGTGGATTCAAGTCATGCCTTGTCAGTCAGTTATATTGTACATTAGCGATGCCTATCTGATGCTTCACCTTTAATTGTATAGATAAACCTGCACTCAGTAGATGATATCTTTAACGATACGCCGACCGCCTTTACTTCCAGGTCGGAAGCGGCAGTGTATGAAACAGGGAACCACAGGTTCGCACTTGGGAGTCGCTGTGGCGTGGGCGGCTAGACGCCCGCTCGTGGATGGGAAGGTCGTGGGTTCGGGTACTGATAGAGCTGGTTATTATTTTTTTTTAAAAATAACTTTGACTCAAAGATCGACCCAGTCTTGGGTGGGTACCTGGTGCAGTCCTGAAAAGTAAAAGCGGCCAGTGTGAGGCTGACCAGATCACCCACCAAGTGCCGATTGGCCTATAAAAAGATAGGTCTTGCCCTCTATTTCTAGTACACCAAAAGGCGGGGAAAAGGGACCTTTGCAATATCGCATAGTAGGACGCTTGCGTAGCCACAGGACTAGAATAAGAGCAAATCCCAATGAAAGTGAATATTTGTCCACTTGCACTGACCGACTGACTTTCTACCCCATCAGGACTTCACACAAGCGATAAACACCAGATGACACAATGTACCACCATGTGGGTGAGGACCACTGTTGAGAGGTCACAGAAACCGCGTTAGACAAAAAACAAAAAATTTCATCTTAAACGAAAAGGAAGGAAAATACTTAACTGGGTACTACAGTCGTTTGTTTCCTAAATAGAAGTAACTGATAATGTATTGAACAAAAATACGTACAATGATGGTTTGTCTACAAATTATATCGGTGTATCATCATCTATCGAGTTCGCCTCATAGTAAAACATAGTCTGCCTTAAATACTTGACTTGTCAATCACAGACAGCATTTACTAGCAAAGTTAACCAACACTGATCCGACAACATTTAACTACAGCCATACGACGCATTATCTCCCGTTTCGACCTATGATTCTGGAATAATTAAAACTGTTCTCGAACAGGGAAATAAACACTTCCAGTCAAATCTACTTGTGGCTTGTGTAAATAGAGAAATAAACACTTCCATTCAAATCTACGTGTAGCTTTTGTGAACAGGGAAATAAACACTTCCAGTCAAATCTACGTGTGGCTTTTGTGAACAGGGAAATAAACACTTCCAGTTAAATCTACGTGTGGCTTTTGTGAACAGGGAAATAAACACTTCAAGTCAAATCTACGTGTGGCTTTTGTGAACAGGGAAATAAACACTTCCAGTCAAATCTACTTGTGGCTTGTGTAAATAGAGAAATAAACACTTCCATTCAAATCTACGTGTGGCTTTTGTGAACAGGGAAATAAACACTTCCAGTCAAATCTACGTGTGGCTTTTGTGAACACGGAAATAAACACTTCAAGTTAAATCTACGTGTGGCTTGTGTGAACAGGGAAATAAACACTTCCAGTCAAATCTACTTGTGGCTTGTGTAAACAGGGAAATAAACACTTGCAGTCAACTCTACGTGTCGCTAGTGTGAACAGGGAAATAAACACTTGCAGTCAACTCTACGTGTCGCTAGTGTGAACAGGGAAATAAACACTTCCAGTCAAATCTACGTGTAGCTTGTGTGAACAGGGAAGTAAACACTTCCAGTCAAATCTACGTGTAGCTTTTGTGAACATGGAAATAAACACTTCCAGTCAAATCTACGTGTGGCTTGTGTGAACAGGGAAATAAACACTTCCAGTCAAATCTACTTGTGGCTTGTGTAAACAGGGAAATAAACACTTGCAGTCAACTCTACGTGTCGCTAGTGTGAACAGGGAAATAAACACTTCCAGTCAAATCTACGTGTGGCTTGTGTGAACAGGGAAATAAACTCTTGCAGTCAACTCTACGTGTCGCTTGTGTGAACAGGGAAATAAACACTTGCAGTCAACTCTACGTGTCGCTTGTGTGAACAGGGAAATAAACACTTGCAGTCAACTCTACGTGTCGCTAGTGTGAACAGGGAAGTAAACACTTGCAGTCAACTCTACGTGTCGCTAGTGTGAACAGGCTTACAACCGTTAACAGTCACCTAGACTGAGGTCGACTTCACATCTGTTGCAACAAGATTAGCAGAATGGAAGCATTTCATCGCCAATAATAATAATAATAATAATAATAATAATAATAATTATTATTATTATTATTATTATTATTATTATTATTATTATTATTATTATTATTATAGAAGAATAAGAAGAAGAAGAAGAAGAAGAAGAAGAAGAAGAAGAAGAAGAAGAAGAAGAAGAAGAAGAAGAAGAAGAAGAAGAAGAATAAGAAGAAGAAGAAGAAGAAGAAGAAGAAGAAGAAGAAGAAGAAGAAGAAGAAGAAGAAGATGATGATAATGATGATTATCATGATGATGATATAATTCACCTATGTAACCCAGTGAGCCGTCACTGTATGCAGCGATGTAGTTGAGTGAATCTGCAGGTAGGGCTTGTTTCACCTGGTAGGACACCAAATTGTTGGGGGACGTCCGGTCATCGTCGATGGCGTAAAATGTGCCTAGACTGCCTAGTTTAGTGCTTTGGTCAGCCCTGAATATATTCAACTGTGGAATGAACAATTTTTGCTTCTAGAATCTTCCGGCTCGTCAAATGTTTCCTTACTTTTAAACATCAACTTACAGCCCTCAGTTGGGAATATTTTCAACCTTCTATCTCTCGCTGAAGCAGACAGGCTGAGCCAGGCCAACACCTGATTGGCTGCCCAGTTGGAGGCTAGCGACTTCTCCATTTGACACGATCTTTCTCTCTTCACTCCATAACCAAACATTGTATCATTCCTATAGTCCGTTCCACAAGTCATGCCGTAATTAAAAATTTAAAAATTATCTGCAACTCTGTAATCCTTGGGTATCAATTGTTGAAATCTGGCAGGCAACGCTTCAATAATCTTTACACATTATTAAAACAAATAATAATGTATACAAACAGCTAGCTTTAAATTGTGCCTCCCCCCCCCCCCCCCCCCCCCCCCCCCGTTAAATGAGAGGGGAAAAATACATCCCTTGAAAGCATACAGTTAATGGAGTGTCGCGAACTTTGAAGAAACAACGAAGTTCACATAATTTAGAGGAAATCCGCACACACAAAAACCCGAAGGCACATATTTTGAATAGTTAATGTACTTTTTCATTAACTCATATTCATAATTATACCTCAGTTTTTTCGCGCTCTACTTTAAAGTGGTCAATCTCTTTTTTGGATAAACACAGTATTTCGTTGTGTGCAAGATAGGCTTTCAAAATAATCACCAGGCATCGCGCCACACATGGAGTTATTTCAAAGCACCAGGTATGGCGCCAGAAATGAAATAGTTTCAGAGCATATCTCTACACTTGTGCTCTAAGGTTAACGATCAGTCTCAGTTTCTGCATATTCGATTTTTTTATTAGGGGAACGTAATTTATTAGTCCCACAAAGATCAAAGAAATCCGTGGTAGCAACTTTGCAATTGCAAATAATGAAAACGTAAGAACATGGCAAATCTAAGACCATACAAAAATATCTTGTCAATCTGTTGATGAGTTTTGCAACAAAATTTGATAAAGGGTGTATTGTTCGACGTTTAATCCTCCCCTCAATGTAATCGTTGTGATTACTGCTGCAGTCCAAGGAGCTGGCAACACTGGTCTCAGATATGACATCCTGGTTGCACGGAAGCATGTCTTAATTTATTCGTCCACATTTCAAGATTCAGTGAACAGGGTTTCAAGAAGCTGCCAAGCCATCTGAAGGTCGCTGGTTCGTTTCATCAATGAGTCGCTCAACTCACAGTTCAGTTTACGGACATCGTCGCTGTAGGTACGGAGGTCGGGTATTGCGCTACGCTCTGGGAGGTAACCGTTCTATCGTAAGGGACCGAGCAATATAAAATAAAACAGTGTTAACAAAGACGATCTGCTCGACTCTAACGTTCATTCAACCAAGTCCCCTCTGAGTGTGGTGGCTAGACGCACGCCTGCCAGCCGCAGGGTTCAAATCCGCATCGATGCTATTTTTGTTTTCCTGGCCTTGGCTTCGAGCTCGACCAGCCTCAAATGGGTACCAAGCAAAGGCGGCCGGCATGAGCATGACCGTGTCATCCAATAAGTACCAATTGATGGATACACAATATGGGTCTAGTTCTGTACGACTAATGCCCTAGAAAGGTGGACAGGGTTTCATAAAAGCAAGAGCATTATTACACGAAGCAGAGAGAGCAAAAGCTAGGGATCAGTCTCACCGAGGTGGACCTGAAGTCGCAAGTGTTGTCA